TGTTTATTTATTTTGAGAGAGAAAACATGAGCAGGGAAGGGGGAAAGAGAGAGAGAGAGAGAGAGAGGAGAGAGAGAGAATCACAAGCAGGCTTTGCACTGTCAGCTCAGATCCTGACATGGGGCGCGAACTCACGAACTGTGAGACCATGACCTGAGTTGAAGTTAAAAGTAGGCTGCTCAAACGACTGAGCCACCCTTTTCTTAAAAATAATGGAATGGTTCATGTAATCTTCTCTGTATCATTCCCATTTTAGTGTATGTACTACTGAAACAAGCACCCAGTGCCATCTTTTATAATTTTTTTTATCCTTCTCTTTCAAGTATGTGAAACCAGGAGTAATTTTTAAAAATGCTAATATTCTTATTTTCAAATATCCAGCAGGTCAGTTATTCATAAATGACTCCGGTCATCACGTCATGACTGAAGCAGTGGGCTATCTGTACAGATCACTTGACTTAAGGGCGACCTACCTGGGATCTTCTCATTCGTCAATCCGTGGAATCCTGCAGTGAGTTTCTGTTCTGGGTCTCAAAAAGAAACCTGCTTCTGGCTATTCATGTGACACATGTGGCCTCTTGACGATTTCTGATCTTTTGCAGACTTCTGAGGGAAATTGAGCGGATCAGGAGTAGAAGATGTTGGCCTCAAGGCATGAGTCAGCAATATTTCGAGGGTTCTAGGAATGGCACCTCATTATGGGAGTACTTGCTTAAATTAGACTACCACAGTGCTCAGAGTTCTAATGCAGTGAGCTCTGCGATATGCATGAATGCACATAACCTACAGAGAGTTAAAAGCATGGACTTGGCACCTCATATAATTTCAGAGAAATCAAAATGTGCTTCTGGAAAAGGGAAAAAAGTCTCGAGACCCATCGTTTCCATTTCTGTTGAGGAGAAGACCCGACAGAAGACACAGGATAATGTGGAGCCATGGAATGGCCCAGGAAAAGGAGGTTCAATGAAAAAGAAAGATTATTCCTCTAAGGTTTTATCTTTGAGTAAAATGGATGGTGTAGTAAAGGTTTCACGGCAAAAGGTTTTCTCAGCTAAAGGTGAGGGTGGAAAAGGCCAAATCACCACAATTTACCGGCATCCCTTGGCAGGAGGGTCTCTTAGCACAAATAATCCCTGGGAATCCATATCTGAGCTCATATCAGAAAAGTGGCTTTTTCATAGCCCAGAATACAGTTCGGTTCCCCAGAAGAGTTTTTTGCAGGGAAGATCTCAGTTTGAAACCAAATTGTTGAAGACCTCAAATGATACTAATAAAGTATAAAAATGATCATGGGTGTATTTGTGTTTGAAATTTCTTAATACTTGCTTTTATTTAGAACTCTTTGATGAGATATTTTCTTTTATAACTTTTAGAAGTGATGATAATCAAAGTCTAGGTCTTGATTTTTTTAGTTCTTTAAAATATGTAACAGATTGTAGCTAAAAACAATTTTGAAGTGATTCATATTTACATGGTAGGTAGAAGAATGTTGATCTCACAGGGTTCCATATCTAAAAATATGCTGAAGCAGTACTATTAAAGTTCTAATTGTGTTACTTTTAAATTGATACAGTTTATTTTGAATTTATGAATTGATTTTCCTTGTAAACAAAATTTATAATTGCTATCACCAAAACTTTTTTTAATGAAACATGAATAAGAAAAGATAAATTGGAATAAATCAAAACCATAAAGTAAGTTTAATGTACCAGAGTCCATGGATTTATTTATTTTTTTAAGTTTATTAATTTTTGAAGGAGAGAGAGATACAGTGTGAGCAGGGGAGGGGCAGAGAGAGAGAGGGAGACACAGAATCGGAAGCAGGCTCCAGGCTCTGGGCTGTCAGCACAGAGCCTAATGCGGGGCTTGAACTCACAAACTGTGAGATCATGACCCGAGCCGAAGTCGGACGCCCAACTGACTGAGCCACCCAGGTTCCCCCAGAGTCCATGGATTTAATATCATATCTATATTATTCTTTTTTAAAAAAAATGTTTATTTATTTATTTTGAGATAGAGCTTGAGCAGAGGAAGGGCAGAGAGAGAGAGAGAGAGAGAGAGAGAGAGAGAATCCCACACAGGCTCTGTGCTCTCAGCACAGAGCCCAACACAAGGCTGGATCTCATGAACTGTGAGATCATAACCTGAGCCAAAACCAAGAGTCGGAGGCTTAACTGACTGAGCCACCCAGGTGCCCATATCCTATCTACTTGAAACATTTTAATTGCCTCTCATCAGTGATTTGTTACCCATTAACTGTTAAGGATTACTTATTGGCTATTTTATCACCTAACTAAATTCTACAGAGTATACTAGGAAGCCAGATGGAAGAATGGGCTCAGCAGTGGGACCTCAGGAAAATCATTCCACTTCTCTTGACCTCAGTTTCATGATTTATAAAATGGGAGAAATCACAGCTCCTGTTTTTCAGGATTACTGAGGGGATTGCATGAGAATGCACATAGCAAGCCTTTAATAAATAGTTATCTGTAAAGGTCTAACTCAGAGGCCATCTTTTTTCAAGAAGCATTTTCCGACCCCTTCAGCCAACAAGGTAAGCATAGGTGAATGCTTGGGTTATTTGTCTTAAATCGTGACTTATTTCACACATGGCAGTGTGGTCTTCCAGGCAGTGTGCCAGCCTTGAGTTATTCCCTGTACTCTAACTAACACCCTGCTCAACAGTAACCATAGTAATCGAGAGCTTGGGGAGTCCTCTGAGTTCAGCGATCCTCAGCGGGGTTCTGGGTGGGCCTTTCCTGCAGCAGCCAAGTCTGATTCAGTCACACAGAAATGTCGCATCGTGGGGGTTACTGTTTGTCTTTGGTGGACCACAATGCATAGAACAGGTGCAGTCTAGCAGATGTGAGGGAAGACAGGTGCACCTGTGAAGATAGGCAGGCGCAGGAGCAGTGTGGCGGTATTCTGAGGGCCTCCCTCTCGAGGCAGGAATTTCTGGAGGGGCACTGGCCTTCTAGGCGGGGGCGGGGGAAGAGGATGACTTTCAAACAGATAAGCCCACATGTGGGGCCTTGGCCCAGTTGCCCCTCTTGGGCGGCGCTGGAAAGATCCAATCTTGGGGACCGAGGGACCTTCCAGACCCGCCCCCGCAGTCCAGCAGAGAGCCAGAGTTCAGACGCTGTTAATGCCGAGAGAGGTCACGTCCTGAATCCTGGGCTAGAGGCACTTTGTCCATGCAGTCAGAGTTGGGGGGACGGCCTCAGTCTGCGAGCGGGAGGAGGAAACAGGTAGGATCTTGGAGCGACCACAGCAGGCTGGGCGCCAGGGCCAGGCCGCCCACGCCCCGGCCACAACCACCTCGCCCCGCCCCCTGCCCGGCA